GTCCCAAAAAGGGTTAAGGTGAATATGCAACAAAATACATATTCATCTTAACCCCTACAAATACAGATAAAAGGCTTTGGACAGAATTTTACTTCGTCAACATGAAGCTAGAATACAATAGTTTAACTCAGATAACTAAATAAAGTGTAGTTTTATGTTCCTCTAGTTGTGTCAGCAGTAGATCTGGAGGTACTGTACTATGCTAACATTGCTTTTTGACGCTCTCCCTTTGCCTGTGACCTCAGCTGATGGTCACGATAAGAGAGAGTCTCATCCTGTTGTAACTTCCAGTCTGTGAACTTTACTCTGAAGAGAAGGAGAGTTGTAGCTTCTGCTCACCATGTGAGAACGGCTTTTTGGGGTCAATGATGAAATGATTCGGTGTACTCTTTAAATATTGCAGGGTTACATGTGCAACACCTGCAAACAGTGCAGTGCATACAACGTGGCGGACTATAATCCGGACCTGCTTCCATGTCATGCTGAAGAAAAACAAAAGGTTAAACAAGATTCATGCAGTAGCTGGAAATAAGACAAAGTGATTTTAAAGAGCTCTGTTTTAGACCGAAGACATCTTAACTGATCAAAATGGTGAAAACCATGGTTGAATTTAAAGTCCATGTCATGTGCAGTTGATTTTTGAGTAATTGTTTGTTGAGTAATAATTCTGAATTTTATCTATTCAACTAAATGCATTTTCACCTTAGACCAGTTGACAGTAATAGTTGGATTAACGGAATTAAAATGTTCTGCTATTTTGCCCCTCCTGTCTACATCTGAAGAGATATTTTGGTGAAAAAACATTACGTTTTAGAAATGAGTTGCTTTGTGCTGTTCCTCAGGGTTTATGTGATTTATATTACCTGCATGCTTTCTTTAGCTCAGATTAATTCAGAATTGCATTGTGCTGGTGATATACAACTTAATATTTCTGCTAACACATAACCACAGGCCCTTACAGTCACTACGTGTCATTATAATATAATATAATATAATATAATATAATATAATATAATATAATATAATATAATAT